AGCCTCAGCCTGCCTCAGCCTGAGCATGCCTCAGCCTCAGCCTCAGCCTCAGCCTGCCTCAGCCTCAGCCTGCCTCAGCCTCAGCCTCAGCCTGCCTCAGCCTCAGCCTCAGCCTGCTTCAGCCTCAGCCTCAGTCTGCCTTCAGCCTCGTCCTCAGCTACAGTCTGCCTTCAGCCTCAGCCTGCCTCAGCCTCAGCATCAGCCTGCCTCAGCATTCAAAGTGTGGCCCGGGAATGTAGTTCTGGGAACTCGAAGAACACGAAATGGCCTACAGTTGGCTCCGGGCATTCAAAATCATGCCCAGGAATGGAGTTCTGGGAACTCGAAGAACACGAAATGGCCTACAGTTGGCTCCGGGCATTCAAAATCATGCCCAGGAATGGAGTTCTGGGAACTCGAACACCACGAAGTGGCCTACAGTTGGCTCCGGGCATCCAGAATGTGGCCCGGGAATGGAGTTCTGGGAAGTAGAAGAGCACGAAGTGGCCTACAGTTGGCTCCAGGCATTCAAAATGTGGCCCGGGAATGGAGTTCTGGGAAGTAGAAGAGCACGAAGTGGCCTACAGTTGGCTCCGGGCATTCAGAATGTGGCCCGGGAATGGAGTTCTGGGAAGTCGAAGAGCACGAAGTGTGTGACTGTTGGCTTAAAATGAATTCTGCGGCACCCTGTCCGGCACCCGCCCAGACCCCCCTGTGGAGTCATCTGTGAGCTCTTTTGAGTCAACTAGAACCCTATCAGTCTACGCTGTTAGGTAAAAACTATCCCGGCAAAGCAACCTAACAGCGATGTGTAGGAGCATATCTGGAAGCATTCCCCTTAATATTCAGATGAGAATCCAGTTGTAGAATTGTGCTGTTCTCGCAGTCGTAGTCGCATTCGCGATGACAGTCGCAGTGGCAACGGCAGTCACAGACACAGCCTCAGCCTCAGCCTGCCTCAGCCTCAGCCTCAGCCTGCCTCAGCCTCAGCCTGCCTCAGTCTCAGCCTCAGCCTGCTTCAGCCTCAGCCTCAGTCTGCCTTCAGCCTCGGCCTCAGCCTCAGCCTGCCTCAGCCTCAGCCTGCATCAGCCTCAGCCTCAGCCTCAGCCTGCCTCAGCATCAGCCTGCCTCAGCCTCAGCCTCAGCCTGCCTCAGCATTCAAAATGTGGCCCGGGAGTGTAGTTCTGGGAACTCGAAGAACACGAAGTGGCCTACAGTTGGCTCCGGGCATTCAAATTCATGCCCAGGAATGAAGTTCTGGGAACTCGAAGACCACGAAGTGGCCTACAGTTGGCTCCGGGCATCCAAAATCTGGCCCGGGAATGGAGTTCTGGGAACTCGAAGACCACGAAGTGGCCTACAGTTGGCTCCGGGCTTCCAAAATCTGGCCCGGGGGGAGGGAACGGGAACGGGATGGAGTTATGGGAACTCGAAAGAGCACGAAGTGGCCTACGTTGCTCCGGGCCTTTCAAAATGTGGCCCCGGGAAGGGAGTTTGCTTGCCTTTTTTTCCTCTTTTTTGATATTTGTACCTCTATTTTCTCTATTCCTCCCACGCCCTTTCCCCACTCTGGGAACTCGAAGACCGAAGTGGCCTTCAGTTGGATCCGGTCATTCGGAATGGTGGCTGGGAATGGGGTTTATGAGGCGGTCGACTGAGCACGTAAGTGTGTGGGACTGTTGGTGAAAAACGAGCCCGGCACAGGGCCGGGCCGGGCAACTCCCAACGCCTGCACGGACCCCCCCCTGTGGAGTGATCTGTGACGCAGGGCTTTTGAGTCAACTAGAAACCTATCAGTCTACGCTGTTAGGTAAATAAGAAACATCATCAGCATCATCATCAGCAACAGCATCGTCACCATGATCATTATCATCATCATCAGCATCATCATCAACATCATTATCATCATCACCACCATGATCATCATCATCGTCAGCATCATCAGCGTCATCCTCCTCATCAGCATCACCCTCCTCATTATCACCACAGTCGTAGCAAGCATCATCATCATCAGCAGCATCATCATCATCATCATCATCATCATCATCATCATCATCATCATCATCATCATCATCATCATCATCATCATCATCATCATCATCATCATCATCATAAACATCATAACCGTCAGCATCATCATCAGCAGCATCATCATCACGACCATCATCATGATCGGCATCATCGCCATCGTCGTTCTCATCATCCTTATCATGATCGCTATCATCATCAACGACATCAGCACCATCATCCACATCTTCATCACCGTCGTCGTCGCCACCATCATCATCAACAACAATAGCATAAGCAACATCATCGTCATCACCGTGATGATGATGATAATCATCATCATCATCATCATCATCATCAGCAGCATCATCATCATCGTCGTAATAATCATCGCCGTCGTCGGCGGCGTCGTCGTCACCATAATCATCGTCAGCAGAATCATCATCATCAACAGCATCATCAACATCATAGTCATTATCATCACCATCATCCACCATCACCATCATCGTCATCAGCATCGTCATCAAACTGATCGTCAGCAGCATCATCGTCATCGTCATCATCGTCAACATCAACGTCATCATCGTCAACATAATCGTCGTCATTGTCATCATCGTCATCGTCAGCAGCATCATCGTCATCAGTATCGTCGACATCATCATCATAATCATCATCATCAGCATCATCCTAATCAGCATCACCACCATCAGCAGCATCACCATCATCATCATCATCATCAACATCGTCATCGCCATCATCATCCTCATCATGACCACCATCATCATCAGCAGCAGCATCATCGACGTCATCATCATGGGGGGCAACGTGCCCAGAGGCATGCAACGCCAGGGCCTTACTCAAGACGGAGACCACCCGAAATTCTGACGTGCAGAGTCTTCTATTGCGCTCGACGTGAAGCCGTCTGACCAGCGTTTCGCACAACAAGATCATCCTTCTTCTCCTACCGCTACCCCATCCCCAAGTCCCCTCACCCTTGCCCCCCCCCCCATCCCCGCCCCCTCCTTCTGCCCCCCCCCCGCCACTTCCACTGTGCCGCTTCCCTCTCCTTCCCCCTCCCCTTCTCCTTCGGCTCCCCCGTTCTACCCCCACGGGGGGGAAGCCACCCACCCGAACGCTCCTCTACAGCCGCACGACACCCGTTCTGGGCTGTGGCCAGCTGCGTGAGCCCCATGCGCACTGTGAAGGGCCGTACGTAAGGCCACCCCTGGGTACCGCAAAAAGGTGGGGAGGGCACCTCGCACACGGAGCAGCAGCAACAGCAGCAGCAGGAGCACGAGCACCTGTCGATGATCCTCAAGACGCGTGTCAGCCCCAACGTGCTTGTCCATCGAGGACCTTCGATACGACGCAGGCGATGTAATGATCTACTGGCTGGGCTGAAGGGGGTAAACACACATTTTGGGCTAACGCACGTCCTGAGGAGCATCGAACCTGAGGGAGCAGCAGGAGCAGCGGCAGCCTGGAGGGGAGCGCGGAGGGCAGGGCGCGACCGAGGAGAACGGGAGGGGCGCAGGAGGGAGGAGGGAGCAGGGCGTTTGGCGGGGAGGCTGCTGTGGAGCGACAAAAAGAGTCCGAGGGAAAGCGCTGTACAAAACACCACCCGCGGCCTCAAACTCGGAGGAGAAATCCTCCTCCTGCGGGCCCCTCCTGGCAGCCTCGCCGAGGGACGCGACGTGCACCAAAAGTCGCCCTCGACGAGGCCGACCGCCAGGAACAACGACGAGGGCGAAGGGGAGGAGCCAGAGGGCAGCCCTGGAGCGGAGGCGGCAGCTCGGGGGAGGGAGGAGGGAGGGAGCGGCTCGGCGGCGCCGGCCTCGACGAAGTTGCTGGAGCGTCTGGCCTGGCCGGCGCGGCGCCGCACAAGGCCCGAGCCCTCGGGAGGCAGACGCGCGCGCCCGACAAAGCCAGAATGTGCCACTCCCGCTCCGCCTGCCGCACGCGATCTCCCCCTCGGGTCGTCGGGGAAGAGGTCGCAAGGAGGGAGCAAGAGGAGGAAGTATAAAAAGCAAAAAACACATAAGCAGAAGCTTTTGGCACTCCGCGCGGGTTTCTTGGATCCGTGCTGGACCCACCTGCCTGGCGCGCGGAGCGCGCCAGGGGCGGCGCCGGAGGCGCCGCTGGGGGGGCCCAGGCGCGGAGCCGAAGAAGTCCGCGCGGAGCGCCAAAAGTTGTTATGTCTGTGTGGCTCTTCCTTCCTCGAGAAGAAGGAGGAGGGAGAGGAGGGGGGGGCCATCCCTCCCCCCCTCACCCCTCCACGTCCCACACACGCCCTCCCCCCCATCCGAGAGCCAGCGCGCGGCTTTCTCGGGCGCGCTGCGCGCCGGTGCCCACATGCGAGGCCGGCGCCCCGCCTGCGGCTGGCCACGGCGCTGTGAGGTGGCCTCCCTCCCAGGAGGAGGAGGAGGAGGAGGAGGAGGAGGAGGAGGAGGAAGAGGAAGGAGGAGGGGAGGAGGAGGGGAGGAGGAGGAAGGAGGAGAGCGGAGCAGGAGGAGGAAAGGGAGGAGGAGGAGGAGGAGGAGGACGGAGGAGGAGGAGAGAGGAGGGAGGAGGGAGGAGGGAGGAGGGAGGGAGGGGGGAGGGGGGAGGAGGGAGGAGGGAGGAGGTAGGAGGGGAGGAGGGAGCAGGAGGAGGGAGGAGAGAGGGCGCGCCGACGCAGCAGCCGCTCGGGGCCCGCCGGCGGGGCTGGCCGCGCCACACGCTGGGGCGTGAACCCGTCCCCTCTGGGCGGCTCCCACCTTCGCCCCCCGGCTTTCGGACCGCGCCTCTCCTCCTCCTCTCCTCCTTGCTCCTCCTCTTCCTCATCCTCTACCTCTCCTCTCCTCTCCTCCTCCTCCTCCTCCTTCCGCATCCTCTCCTCCTTCCTTCCTCCTCCACCCTCCTCCTCCTCCTCCTCCTCCTCCTCCTCCTCGCATAGGAGGCATAGGAGGGGGGAGCAGAAGGAGTGCAGGGGGGGGGGGGCCATCTCTCCCCCCCCCACCCCCTCCGAGAGCCAGGCGCGGCATTTTCGGGCAGCGAGCGCCAGGGCACATGCGAGAGGCCTGGGGCCCCCTGTCTGCGGCTGGCCACGGCGCTGTGAGGCGGCCTCCTCCTCCTCCTCCTCCTCCTCCTCCTCCTCCTACCTCCTCCTCCCTCCTCCTCCTCCTCCTCCTCCTCCTCCTCCTCCTCCTCCTTTTTGTTAGTATTGTTAGTATTATTAGAGTATGGCTCAGTAGTGTCATTATGCTTATTAGTAGTAGTAGTCGTTTTCTTCTTGCTATTGATAGTATTAGTAGTGTTATGGTGTTCCCTGTAGTGCTGATCGTCTTATTAGGTTCATCCTCATCATTAGCATGATGATTAGCATCAGAATTGCTCTTACTACTACTATGTGGATTAGCGATACTGTTCTTAGTATTATTGTTAGTCCTAATGATATACGTAATTAGTAACAACAATAATATTGATACCGAAATAGTTTTAGTATTGTTAAAATATCATCCGTACTAGTCGTATTCGCATTATTAGTATTCGCTATATCATTATTAGTATTATGACTCCTACTGCTATGTTTATGATTTCTCTACTTCCTCCTCCTCCTCCTCCTCCTCCTCCTCCTCCTCCTCCTCATCATCATCATCATCATCATCATCATCATCATCATCATCATCATCATCATCATCATCATCATCATCATCATCATCATCATCATCATCATCATCATCTCATCTCATCATCATCATCATCATCATCATCATCATCATCATCATCATCATCATCATCATCATCATCATCATCATCATCATTCCCTCATCCATCAGATCATCATCATCATCATCATCATCATCATCATCATCATCATCATCATCATCATCATCATCATCATCATCATCATCATCATCATCATCATCAGATTCCTCCTCCTCCTCCTCCTCCACCACCTCCTCCTCATCCTCTTCCTGCCCTCCACCAGTACCCTTGCCATGCGCTTCCCTCCACCCTCCTCCCTCGTCCTTCGCCCCAGGCCCTCGACGCGGCGGGGCTCCGCTACGCGCAGGGAGAGAGCTCTCTGCTGAGCGCCCGCCACCCCTCCAGGAAGGCGTCCGTGGTAATGGCGGAGTTTGCGGGCCCCATGTTCCTCAGGCGCGGCGGGGGGGGCCCTTCCATGACGACCCCCACTCCGTGACGGTACCCTCGCGCCCCCCCCGAGGTGGGAGCGGATGGGCGCAGACAGCCGGATAGCGGTCCCCCCGTGACATCCACCGAAACGACTTTACCAGTCTGCGGCCCCAGAGGTCCAAAACACCCGCTTGAAAAAAAACATATCGCCAGAGAGCTGGGTCGGTCTGGCGGTTCGAGCAGGATGGCCCAGTTTGCACCGCGGGGGGGTTGAGGCCGCCCCTGGCGCTCCACTCGAAGTAGGCCTCGGTGGAGCTTGCCCCGTCGCCACCGTAGCCCGCTCCGCGCAGGCTGTTCCAGAGCCGCGACCCTAAGGGGGCCCAAAAAAAGGCACGCCTGCGGCAGGAGCGTGTCGCGACGAACCCGGCGCTGGCTCCCGACGCCGCGTGGATGGCTCAGCCCCGAGCGATGGGCGCTGTCACGCGGTCGCCGGCTCGCTCTGCAGCGGCAGGCTCTGGGGCAACTGGCGGCGCCCACGACCTGGAGCGCCCGCGGGGTCGCCTCTGCGTCGGCACGACGCGATCCTGCACTTCCAGCAGCGAGGAGGGCGGGGAGGGAGGGAGGGGGGACTCCAGGTCTCGGGCGCCGTGGCCTTCCACTCCGGGCGCCGCGCCTGGGGCGCGCCGAGCTGCCCCCCAGGGAGAGGGGAATCGGGGCCCCGGGGGCCTCGGACTGGGAAAAGAGCACCTCGGAGGACAGCAGGGCTCTGGGGCCCGCGGTCGTGTCCAGGGTCCACCAGGAACGGATCCTTGGGGCGCGCCGGGCTGCCCCCATGGGGAGGGGGTCGGGAGCCCCGGGGCCTCGGACTGAAAACGAGAGAGCAGAAAATCCACCCTCACGAGAATCACCCCGACACGCGAGGCCGGTTGGCAAACGCACGAGAAAGAAGGAATCGAGCAGTGCAGGGCTGTTCAATAAACGCCTAGGGCCGCTTACTGAACGCCAACTATCGGGTCTGGGTGGCTGCTTCTCCCTCGACACAAAAAAAGCAGCAGCAGCAGCAGCAGCAGCAGCAGCAGCAGCAGCAACAGCAACAACAACAACAACAACAACAACAACAACAACAACAACAACAACAACAACAACAACAACAACAACAACAACAACAACAACAACAACAACAACAACAATTACTAGCACGTGGGGACACTCCGTTCTCACCAGTGCCAGGGTTTTCATAGGAGGCGGGCAATACCCCCACTTTGTGGGGGGGCCAGTTCAAGCTCTACCAAGTTTCCAAACGACTCTTCGCCACCACCCACACCCAGCTTCCCGCCCTATGACGTTCGGACACTTCACTTCGTGGCATGCGGACGACCTTGGCTACTATTCAGGGCCAGCGGGTTTTTTAGGATTCGGACAGCGCGCGCGGGTAGAAATTTTGAAAATTCGTACAGATGTTTTTCGAGGACCTACGGTGCGATTCGTATGATTTTATGTTGCGCGGTGCTAAAATTCCTAAGAAACCCAATGGTTTTTGAAGATTTCGGCGTGCGCGCGCGAAGAAAAAACGAATGTGTCCCGCATGGTATTATTTGACAGGGATGATGGCCCTGGCAGGTGCGCAACCGTTGTCGCAGAAGTTCGAAAAAGTTGCTCGCAAAAGCCCGTTTGACAGAAATGTTTAAAAAGTGTTGGGTTTCCTACGAATCCGCAAGAGCGCGCGGGATGAGATTTTGACATTTTTTTGTTGAAAAACCATTGGTTTTTTGATGTTTTTATGTTAAAATCGCTCCGAACACTAAGCTTTTGGAAGGATTTCGTCTTGCGCGCGCGAATGTCCACTTTACCTTATTTTTTGCAAGGGATTCTTGAAATTTGATTATATTAGAACAAGAAATGTCATTTTCTATTGTTTTTTGCAAGGGAAAGCGGATTACAACAAAACAACCGGATCCTGTACACACCCTCTTTTCTGAGGCTTCCTCACGAAAATGATGAAAATGTAGCTGCGGCCTAGGCGGCGCAGGGGGGGCGCGCACCAGGGGGCCCAACAATAATTATTCTTTAGAATAAATAATGTTACCACAACAACAACAACAACAACAACAACAACAACAACAACACAACAACAACAACAACAACAAAACAACAACAACAACAACAACAATCACTTTACCCGAACGCTCAGTGTTCTCACCAGTGCCAGGGTTTTCATGCGACGCCAGCCAATACCCCCACTTTGTGGGGGGGCAGTGCAAGCTCTACCAAATATCCACACGACTCTTCGCCACCACCCACACCCAGCTTCCCGCCCTATGACGTTCGGACACTTCACTTCGTGGCCTGCGGACGACCGTGGCTACTACACTGGCGTGGAGTACACACCCACAGAAGTTGTTAAGCCTACGTTCGTACACCCACAGAAGTTGTTAAGCCTTGTTAACCCACAGAAGTTGTTAAGCCTTCCACAGAAGTGATTTTATGATGCGCGGTGCTAAAATTCTTAAGAAGCCCAATGGTTTTTGGAGATTTCGGCGTGCGCGCGCGAAGAAAAAACGAATGTGTCCCGCATTGTATTATTTGACAGGGATGATGGCCCTGGCAGGTGCGCAACCGTTGTCGCAGAAGTTCGAAAAAGTTGCTCGCAAAAGCCCGTTTGACAGAAATGTTTTAAAAGTGTTGGGTTTCCTACGAATCCGCAAGAGCGCGCGGGATGAGATTTTGACACTTTTTTGTTGAAAAACCATTGGTTTTTTGATGTTTTTATGTTAAAATCGCTGCGAACACTAAGGTTTTGGAAGGATTTCGTCTTGCGCGCGCGAATGTCCACTTTACCTTATTTTTTGCAAGGGATTCTTGAAATTTGATTATATTAGAACAAGAAATGTCAATTTATAGTGTTTTTTGCAAGGGAAAACGGATTACAACAAAACAACCGGATCTTGATGACATCGTATTACCTGAGGTTTCCTCACGAAAATGATGAAAATGTAGCTGCGGCCTAGGCGGCGCAGGGGGGGCGCGCACCAGGGGGCCCAACAATAATTATTCTTTAGAATAAATAATGTTCAACAACAACAACAACAACAACAACAACAACAACAACAACCAAAAGAACAAAAACACAAAAAAGAGGGCTGTCGGGGCCCGGCGGCGCGCCGGAGGGAGCGCACATGGGCGACGAAGGCAGGCCTTCTGCGAAGGGCACGGGGGGGATCCCCAGCAGGGGCCAGGGCCCTCCTGCAGAAGGCTTCCCCAGAGGTCGAGGGGGCCTCCAACGAGACCCCCCGCCTTCTCGGAAGGCGTGCCCCCGCCGCCCCGCCACCGCCCGCGGCGCGCCGCCGAGAGAAGGGGGGGGGAGGGACGGAGCCATCACCTCCGTGCCCCCTGCCTCCTCTGCCCTCCGCTGCCTCTCCCCTCTCCTGGGCGAGGGGAGGGATGGGGGAGGTGGTGGTGTGTATTCTTGGGCCCCGCATAGGGAAGGGAGGCTAAGAGAAGGGCGGCCGGGTGGGACTTCTTTGCTGGCTGCCCGGGTCCGGTCGCGCTGGCCACCCTCTCGTGCGCGGCTTCGACGACGTCCCTCGGGGCCTCGGAAGCGATGTAGCCGTGCACCAGGCACGATTGGGGAATGGGCGGCTCAAACCGCAGGATCTTGCTGACGAGCGCGTCGCCAGAGAGCGCCTGCACCACCTCTCGGAGCTTCTCGAATCGGGCCTCGAAGCCGCCACGGTGGGCTCGCAGCTGCATCTGAGCGTCAAGCCAGTGCGGTGCGAGCGTGAACATGCTGCCGCCGAGCCGCACCAGCCACGCCCTCGCGATCCCGACGAGGCTCGACTCCCCGCAGAGCATGGCTCCGCAGGTGCCGCCCAGGCCCTTGTGGGGCGACAGGAAGGGTACCGATACCGCTACTCCCCGGAACTCTCCCGGGGCACGTTATGACCAGAACTCTGAGGCGGAGCCAGCGGGTGCGACGAGGGCCTCCCAGGAGGCCCGAAAGCGGGAAAAACGGAGGAGGGGCAGCGCTATGGGTACCTTTTCCTCCTCCGGCCTTGTAGAAGGAGACGTAGACGGAGTCGAAGAGTCTGCAGATGTCCGCCAGGCTCCTGCCGTAGTAGGGCTGCGCCTCTCTGGGCAGGAGAGACCTCTGGTGCGCGGCCTCTTGGGGGGCCGCTGGGGGACCAAACACCAGGCGCGCAAGACGCTGCTGCTGCAGCACGTTCGGCGACCTGGGGACCAATTTCTACCCGCACAGGAGGAGGAGGGGGAGGAGGAGGAGGAGGAGGAGGAGGAGGAGGAGGAGGAGGAGGAGGAGGAGGAGGAGGAGGAGGAGGAGGAGGAGGAGAAGAGGGAGGAGGACAGGGAGGAGGAGGTGGAGGAGGATGATGAGGAGGAGGAGGAGGTCACTCGGGCAAAGGGTCACTCTTACGTCTCGTCGAGCCTCCCAAAGCCGCGCGCCGTCCATGTGCAGCCGGGCGCCTACGTCCCTCGCCCGCATGGACAGGGCCTCGAGGTCCGCCCAGGGCATCGTCCGCCCGCCGTTCATCCGCTGCGGGATCTCCACCTGAGTGGTGCAGGGGGGGCTGGCTCAGGGGGGGAAGCATCGAGCTGGACGTGGCAATGCATCGCCGACAGATCGGCGACAGGGCCCCAGCATCAGAACCCCACGTTCCTGGGCGGGGTGGGCTATCGGGCCCACATCGGCGACCAATGAGCGATTGGGGGTCGCCGTATCCCCCCCTAAGCCTATCCCCCCCCCCGGATCGGCGCCCCTGATACGAACGGCTTTCGGGCCAGATCTCCAGTCTCGGGCGGCCGTTCGGGACGGTTCTGCCCCCCCCCCCCAGCACGCCCTCGGCGAGGCGCAGCCGCTTGAAGGCATCCCAAGGCTGCGGAGCCGGCGAGAAGCTACAAAAGCGTCCGAGAACCTGGAGGAGGAGGAGGAGGAGGAGGAGGAGGAGGAGGAGGAGGAGGAGGAGGGCGGAGGACGAGGAGAGGAGGAGGAGGAGGAGGAGGAGGCGGAGGAGGAGGAGAGGAGGAGGAGGAGGAGGAGGAGGAGGAGGACGAGGACGGAGGAGGAGGAGGAGGAGGAGGAGGTGGAGGAGGAGGAGGAGGAGGAGGAGGCGGAGGTGGAGCGGAGGAGGAGAAGGAGGAGGAGGAGCAGGGGAGGGGGAGGCGGAGGAGGAGGAGGAGGAGGGTAAGAGGCGGCCACAAGACCACGTCGCGCGGGCGAGGGCCCGCGCGAAGTCCTCGAGCGCCAAGCACCGGCTGAAGTCGCCGACGAGCTCCACCGGCAGCGCGGGAAGCCGCGCCTGCGCCCCCTCCGGGCCTGCGCCGGCACGCTTCGACTGCGCGGGGGCCGTCGCGGAGGCAGTCGTGGTGGACGAGTGGTGGGACGTCCGAAGGAGAACAGAAGGCACAAGAGGCCCGTTGTTTCGTCGGTACTGGGGGGGGCGGACGTGGATAAACAGTCTCGCCCGGAGTCACAGGGGGGAGCGAGGTGGATGGGACGGCACACGAGGCCAAATCCTGAGTCCAGCCGGCCCTATGGGCGGAGGTGGTTCGAGGAGCTTGAGCGTTTCCCTGTCCAATCCCCCTCCTTCCTCCCTCTCGGGGAGGGGCTTGCTGCTTGCGCCACCACCCCGCCCACTCGGCCCCTGGGTTGGACGGGGGGGGGGGGCCTCCTGAGCGTCAGGGCGCACAAGATGGCCCGACGTGGCTCCGATGAGGGCCTCCGATGCTCCAAGACGGCTCCGAGGTTGCCCCGATGGCCCGAGGATGGCTCCAGATGGCTCCCAACATGTTCGCGAAACTTCAGTATTTCATTGATGCAGGGGGGAGCAGCCGCATGAGGAGAAGATGAAACTCTCGGAGTTCCGCGCGGACATTCCCAGATCGGCCTTGGGCCCCCTGGCGGCGCCTCTGGCGCGGCGCGCTCCGCGCGGCGAGGAGGGGGGTGCGCGCCCGATCCGAGAAATCCGCGCGGACCTCCGAAAGTTCGTGCGTATGTCACTGCTCTTTCCCTGAAGACCTCCCGTCACCTGAGGTCGGGCATGTCCTCCTACAGGCGGAAGTGGGACCAAAAATGAAAAATACCCGAAAAATCGTCCCCGAACTATTTTGTTCACTGTTTTTGCATGTTCCTCCTGTAAAGGGACGCGCCCGACTTAACCGTCACCGGCCCCCCCCCCCCGCTGGCCAGGCCACGATTGACGCCGGCGCCGTCTGGGCAAGGGCCACGCCTGGGCACCTCCCAAAAAAATGAGGCCGGCGCGAGTCGTGACGTGGCCGGCCCCCTCCCCACCCCCACTGCCGTGAATGGTAGAAAAATCGCGCCCTGGCCAAATTTTGGTTATTTTTGAATATTCTCCCTGAGGCTTAACCTTACTGTCGAGATTGGATTGGATGGATCGGCCGTGGCCCTGCAGGCACAGGAAGGCTGCGGCCGTGAGGCGCCCGAGGCGCCGCCAGGTGAGCCCAGCGCGGGTCCGAGGAAATCCGCGCGGGGCGCCAAACTTACCAGCCTGGAACATATCCCTATCCCTATGCTGGGCACCTCCTCGTAACGATGCCAATCTTAGGGATTGCCTTATTTTTTGAGGGCGAACCCCTAAGATTGTCGTCGCCTTTTGGCGCGTCAACCTTAGGGATAGGGATACGTTCGAGGCTGGTGAGTCCCCCCCTGGTAGCGCCCGGTATCGCCAAGGCAGGACAAATCGGGCTCTGAGCGCAAACCGTCGGAGGTCCGCGCCGACTTCTCGGATCGGCGCTGGACGCCTCCTCCCTGGTGGCGCCTTCGGCGCCGACACTGACGAGCTCCGAGCGCCAGGGAGCAGGGGGGGCAGCGACGATCCCTGAGATCCGACGTCCCCGAAAAATGGCAACATCGAAAAAAACATGACCGGAGCGCTGGACCCCATCTTTCTGTAGCATTTTGCGAGCCAGATCGATCCTTGAGGGTCCCGCGGCCCAAACAAGGCAAGATCGCCCGTTGCGAAAAAAAGTTGGCGCCGGGATCTCGGGGATCCGAGACATCCTCTCGGACCTCCGAAAGTTTATGCTTGTGCAGTTTTTTGTTCTTCGAGAGGTTGGGTGAACGAAGACCCGCCCAGGGTGCGAGGCCAGCTGCTCCCGGTGGCCGTGCAGCGCGGCTCGCTGCGCCAGGGTGCCAGTTGGGAAGAAGGCCCCAAGGTCCTACGTAGGGGTTGGAGGCCCGCGCGAGCTCGACCTGATCCTCCTCATCCCCCCACTCCACCTCCTCCTCCTCCTCCTCCTCCTCCTCCTCCTCCTCCTCCTCCTCCTCCTCATTCATTCATTCATTCATTCATTCATTCATTCAGTACAGGCACGATGTGTCAAGCACACATCCAGAGATAAGGAGACTATGAGTGATGTGGCACTGCCAGCTGCAAGGAAAATGTGCATGTCAAGTTCACTCATTCCAACCCGAACGCCGAAAATAAGTATTCAATCGCCCACTCCAGCGTCAGCGTTTCGGCCAAGAGAGATCACTACACTATCCCGAAACATGTGCCAGCACGGTACAAACACTCCCGTCCAGGATACGCGTATATAGCCATACCACCTGCGGCATCTCGCCCTCCACTGGAGGGTCCGTCCACGCACAACCGCAAGTTGGGCTTGTTACGAAGCGCCCGGGCCATGGCCTCCTCGTTGCGCGGCTCCCAATTGCCACCCGCATCCAACGCTGCATTCGCTGCGTGATCTGCGATAGTATTGAACTCCCGCTTGTCCCACTCCACAAACGGCACTGTGTTGAAGCGTGACAGGAGGCCCGCGTGAAGCAGCTGCTGCAGTCGCCTCGAAATTCGGACAAACAACGGGCGCACACTTGGAGTGTTGAGCTCAGCCCGCCCACAAAGCAGATGATCCAATGGTTGGTTGTCGGTCTGTATCCACAGCCGTCGTGCCCAGCATTCCACTAAGGGTTCCCTTT